ACCCTCTCCTGGAAACCACACATCTTCCAAATTTCTCTTCGCAATCTGCTCCCTAAAACAGTTCAATCGCCTATGTTATCTCCTTCCTTCCATCTAAGTCCCGTCAACTCCTAGTTACCTCCCTTGTTTTCCCCCACTTCGACTATGGCTGTATGGTGTACGGTGGACTCTCGGGAGATTTCGAAGCCAAACTTAAACTCCTAATGACTTTACAGTTACGTTTTATTTTCGGACTCTCAAGAGATACGTATATTACACCGAGTTGAAGTGGCTCTATCCATCCTATCGCCGTCGGTACTTCCTAGCTACCTTTCTGTACCAAATCATTAGAACTCATCGACCCTCCTATTTTTTCACAGCTTACAATTTAAATACCTCATCCAATCCCGTCCCACTAGATCTCGTACTTCCGCCCTCTATCCTTTCCCCCATCGAACTGCTGTGTTTGACAAATCCTTTGCAATTCAAGCCGTCTCCCTCTGGGATTCCATCCCTGTTGATATTAGACACACACAATCAGTTTCCTCTTTCAAACCTCTTCTCTTTAAACACCTAGTTCTTTCTCTGATTACGAAATATAAAAGTTCCAGAATAATAAAATATAATTTCGATTTTATCTCACTCATATATAAGAACAGTCAGTGCCCTTGAAAGGTACTAATTTAGCGGCTAAATATTAGTCTGTTTATGTTTTGTTGGATATTGAATTTGAATTGAAGGCATTAGGTCGAAGATGGATGCATTAGAAGCAAACTAATAAAATATTAATACGACTATCATAAGTTATTAACCTCCATTTTAAGCTCTAAATTTAAGCGTTCTTCTATCATCTTCTACGATTTATTTACTTAATATAATATTCTCTAAAATCTTAATTTTTCCGGCCATACAGATAGACATTGTCATAATTAAGATGCTTTTTATCTTTTCTGGTTTCGATTTGGCATATAAGTGCCATACAAAATAAGAACAAATCTTTATCGTTTGTGGGGTGTCCAACACACTTTTACAATGATAAAACGTTTAATATAAGTTATATATGTACAAAACACCCATAGTCCAGTCAATGAATGATTATAGAAGGAAATGGCGGCGGCACACTTTTTGGCCTTGGGACATTTTTTGGACTAATATAACATATTAAAAGTCCCCACTCCTAGGTGGCGAGCCGAATGTGGGGGGCGCCTAGTAGGTCACTTTTTTCGGATTTTCGTTTATATCAGGAAAATTAACCATCGCATAGACAAACACATTTTACACAAAATTAAAGCAAATTAAATCTGCTAGTTGTCACTCCCATGACAGGTGAAGAATTAAAGACAAAAAAAAATTGCAATATGATTAATCATTTACCTTTTTTCGTTACCTCGTTTGGTCTCCGAAATATCCTTCTTCAACTATGGTGAATTTTGAAGAAATAAAAAATTGTCTCATACTTATTGCTGTTTTTCGGGTTTTCACTTATATTAGAAAAACTATCCATTGCCTTGAAAAAGACACTCAAAATAAAATGAAAGCTGATAAAAGTTTCATTATGGATGAGTATATACTTTTTTTCGCTACCTCGCTTAATTTCCGAAATATTCGCCCTCAACTGTAGGTAAAACTTTTACGTCATGTTTTTTACTCTATTTACCTAGCTAACTCTTGACTACTTCGTTTTACGATTAAGTCTTGCATAAAAGATCAATATTTAATAATTTAATTTTCTTCAAGATTATAATATTATGTTACTAGTTTACCTTCAACGGCTCAAAAGTTAGATGAAATATAATTTTATATGTCAATCCGAGAATTTTCAGAGGAAAATAATTTTCATAATATACCTTATCTTATGTATGTATATATATAAAAAGAGATTTAGATGTATAGAGAGTTGGAGCAATACAATAACGAATATTATAAAAATTATTTTTTTCTGCAAATTCATGAAATTGACATGTAAACTTATAATTGATCTAAATTGTTAACCATTCGAGATAAACTAGTAAAATAATATATATACATATATGTTATCGAAATATTTAAGCCAACCACTATAGAAGATATGAGAAAATTATATTTTTCCATTTCTAATATATGTAATTATAGAGATTTGGTGAGGTAATCTAAAATATTGTCCTCTGAGTATTGTAATAAAAATGTAGATTGGATGTCGGTATGGATTATGATAAATTGTGAACGGATTTGTTTGGGTCTTGTTCTGTTGATTGTTTCTTTGTTTATATGAATGATCTGGTAATTTAATTTTAGTAAGTGATTTGATATTAATTTTTTAATCATAAAATTTATTTCACGTTTTTATTGTCGCTGTGTGTTCTATTGATCATTTTAAATTTTATACTTATGTTGATATTTGGCATTTTTTTAACCATCTGAAACATTTTAAAAATGTGATTTTTAAGTTATCCTTAAAAATAGTTATATATATTGTAATACACTAAGGTTAATAATGAAAAGTTATGAATAAATACAGACGGATTAGTTATAAGCGATTTAGAAGTAAAATAAAACACCTTATTGCAGTGTAATGTATTACCCATATCCACAATTTGCTAAGCTTATATTACGAATATTGGCGTTCGTACAGGATATATTATTTTAAAATTTTGGTAATATTGCCTTCAGCTGATTTATAATTAGGCATAGGTTTCCATCAATCATAAAAAAAAAAGGTAAATAAGTATTTTGGACAATTTGTTTTGCTGGTTAGTCATACCTTGCCGAGGGTGGGGGCTTGCCAGTGTGCCAGTCAAACAAAAATATTTGTTCTACTGGCATGTGCCAGTTGACTGGCAGACCAGTCTCTCTCTCGTGAACTATTTACTACCTACCTCGCTATTTCTAATAGAGGGGAGTTTTGTATAGGGCTGTTCAAGAGGTACAACCAAACCTATTCTAATTGGATTGGAGCTAAACGCACCAAAAAAAAAAAGAAAAAAGAAGTTTAATTTAATTAAAAATTGAAATGGTAAAGTATGTTTTTTGGTAAAAGAAATGTTAAATATTGTTTCTTACTTTTTATTAATTATTTCATTTTTTTTTTCTAGTTCCTGTTCCAACGTAAATCAATATTATATCAATAATAAGGATGCCATTGATTTAAGTTGAAACGAAATTCCCCGCAACCTCAGTATTTTTAAACTCATATAAACATACTCTACTTATGTATTTAATGTAACACGTTAGCTGCAGAGCATGATATCTCTTAAATGTGTTTTCCGACACTATCGGTCATCGACGACCGACACTATGTATGAAGTTCCTAACGGCATCAGACGTTATTAGGTACAATCCATAATCAACGGATCGAACAATCCATAATCAACGAATCGTACAATCTATAATCAACCGGTGAAATAATAAAAAGGACTTTTGTTATTTAAATAGTATTTATGATTCGTTAGCTGAAATCTTTTGACTTTAGCTCAGTTAAATATGCAATTCAAAAATTTTATACACTGACAGGAAAAAAATTCCTCCCACTTGATTTTTTCATGTTTTCATCTAAAGATATTTCTGCTTTGGATTGGTCTATTGTTTTTAATGAATAAATAGGTAATCTTTTTGTTTGTTTTCAATTAGGAATGTTAATATATAGGACAATAATCCTTAATTGAATGAAATGATTCTAGATTCCAATGTTTACTTTCTATGGAATCAAAATGTTTATTCAGTATCATTAGTTCAGTGCCGTTTCTTGCAGCACATTTCTTAGTCTCTGGCTTTTAATTTTTTCAATATCAAGTTTAAAAATGCCTCTTAGTGCTGAGGATGTTGCGCGTGGTGTTGCACTTATTGATGATGGACGTTCCATTAGATATGCAGCTAATGCCATCGGAGTTCCATATGAAACTTTACGAGACGCCGTCAGGAAACTGTTTCTTAGAATAGAAGGCCCGGTTCTGGACGGCCTAGGGTAACAGAACCACGGGATGACCGGTTTTTTACTTTGAGAATTTTACGAAAACGGCACCTTACCGTTGTTCAAGCGATTCATCAACTCGAAGAAATTCGATGTGTGCAAATTTCTGAACATACCGCTCGGAGAAGATTAAATGAGTATGGATTAATAGCTTTTCGTCCAGTAAGAGGACAAGAGTTGACCAGAACTCACAGAGTAACACGGCTGGCGTTTGCTCGAGAACACAGCCATTGGACTATGGACGAATGGAGTGCTGTACTTTTTACAGATGAGTCAAGATTCCCTCTTCGATCTCCAGACGGGCGTGAAACTGTGTGGAAGAAGAAACGAAAGATACGCAGCCTGTAATTTTTCCCAGAGCCAACCTTTCTAACGTGGTTCCTTAATGGTGTTGTACGTTTGTGTTTTAATTTTGAAATACCCCTGGCCCCAAAAATTTGTATGAAGGCCGTTCAATATTATATTCCCATTTACCACTCTTTTCTTTGCTTTCTCTCGTTGCGTTGTAAGCAGTGCCGGCCTCAGGGCAGGAGAACCCGAGTTTTTGCCCAGAGGCGCCAACCTGGAAGTGCCGCCACTTATTAGAAATTTAAAAAGAGACTAAAAAACATATGAGAAAAATTAATTTTAGCTTATTAATAAAGGTAATTGATACTGTAGTCTATTTGCAAAATGCTTTATACATTCTATATTTATATGGGCACCTTTAATTGAGCATTTCATGACGTTTTTTCGGTAACGACACAATCTCAATAACCTTCACTGTAACTTTTTTACATCATAATTGACTGGTTTTGAAATTACAGGTTTTTATAAAAGGCCATTGTAAAAGAAATAAAACTGTAGAAGAAATAAAAACTGTAGATTTCATTTTTTTGTATCAGACAAGAAAAGGACAAGTGACTAGAAAAGCTCAAAACCTTATTTTTTTAAAAAGAAATTATCCTTAGAGCCTTTTGATGTGTGGCTTTCGATACCTCAATATAATAATTATGTAGTAATAATCATTATAAAGTAATTATGACATGTGTAAAGATAATTTAATATATATTTACAAGATATATATATTGTCCAGGTGTTGGTGAAGTCTGTCAAAATGGAACTGTTCCTTGGATATGCAAAATTAGTATGAACTGTTCCACTGTAAAAGAAGCCAGAGAACATGGTTTCCTGGCTGATATATGTTCACATCTTGGCACTCAGACCGTTTATTGTTGTCCACCTGAAAATTATACTTACAATGATCAATTAACTAGGCGTCCTCCTACTACCCGACCTCATTATTCTCCAGAAGTATTAAAGGCAAAAACGAGTATGTAGTGTCACAAAATATAATTTAATTTTGGTAACAAGCATGTTAAAATAATTCTCTTTTTTTAATTTATTATGTTTTACTGTATGAAAAAAGATCAAATTAGTATATTATTTTTTCAAATCTTTATAATTTAGAGAATTAATAATGTAAATTAATATAATATGAAAAAACAAAACAAATTTGCTAATTTTAAGAACCTAGCATATAAGGATCATAATATTTCAAGATACTTTATGGATTAATTATTACATTCCAAATTAAGCCTTTATGACACCACAATAAAATCAATTGAGTTATGTATAGTTATGTTTATTTTTTATTTATTTTAGTGTGTGATGATTATTCCAACTATATTTTTAAAAATGTTACAATAAATACTCAGGAAGGACCAAAAAACTTTAGTATTAATGAGTGTGTTGAAACTCTAATAGTTGGTGGAGTTGATGCTGAGCCTAAAGAATTTCCTCACATGGTAATTGATGCAATTTTTTTCTCAATTTATATATCATTATTCACATTGGTTGGCTACCTCTGTTCCAGTGTGTGTTAATCAGTGATATTTTTCTAGAACCTTAATGTTTGAACTATGTCGGTAGTAAGTGCACATTTAAAGTATTTTAAATTAAAATAAGAAAAAAAGTGAATAATTTGTTAAAACTTGGTAAGACACCATCCGAGTTGTGAGTAAGACTATTGTATGGTATTGTATTGTTCCTCCTGACTCGATCTTAATTGCTCTGGCCACGTGTTCTAATGCAATATTGAATTATACAGGGGAGAGAGGATCTCCTGGGCGTAAACCATAGAGGATCTCTTGTGCATTGTGTTCTTTCTCTTCACCCTGCATCTGGTTTTTTAGGGTCATCGCACCCAAACCAACTAGCTTTTCTGGAACTCAAAATGCTTTTATGACTTTAAGCAGTTCATTCCCATTGAGGCTATCGTATACTTGGAGATCGATGAATAGGTGATCGAGATTAATATTATATTATGCTACGTGTCGTTTGGGGTTTTGATTTTTTATCGGGATGCCATTGGATAATTATTGAGGATAATTATCCAGAATTATTTAATAAGAATTAATTAATTAAATTATGTTATTTAACATATTGGTCCATGATCAATTGATTGAACTTCTTTACACAAAGGCTTGTTGTGTGTTTATCTGTTCTCTAATTACCAAACATTACCTGTAATTTTAATGATATCAATAGGTGGCATGATTAAAATAAATTTTATTTACAAATTATATTTATTTACAAATTATATAATAATTAATATATATATATATATATATATATATATATATATATATATATATATATATTTTATTTACAAGAATTAATGATTAATGATCTATGATTAGTAATTGGTTGTGAAGGCATGATTCAGATGGACAGAATTGAAAATTTGCCATGAAATATTTTATTACATTATTAAAATGAATTGTTGGGAATCACTTATCTATTATGCGAAGTGGTGGAATTGGTAGATGTCATCGCTGCATCTGCGAAGTCGAGATCATCATTGTTCAGGTAGGGGCTTCAGGATAAAACAGTCCTCCAGCCAGAAGAAAACATCTCACTCCAAGCCGGCTCTCCATATCAGATCTCTCCTCTGTGCCGGGCAATCCATCAGACATAAGACATCAGACTTCTCTTCTATGCCGGGCAGTGGCATAAGACCAAAAGAACTTTCTTCTATCCATCTCAGTGGATTTTATCCCAATATCTTAGGTGGGGCAAGAATGGTTCCCATTGGTTCAATTTTTGTTGCAGAAGGGATGACCACACCCCCAGCGATATGTTGAACACACCCCTTTTAGCAGGTACACGACCGTTTCTTCCTTTGCCGAAACTGAAGTACATTCCAAACTGAAGTACTTCAGTTTAGGATCTTGTTACTCAGCTTACTTTGTTCATATTTTATTGTACTTACTGTTTATAATTTTAATAAACTTGTTCACATAGTTTATAAATTATGTCAAAATGTTATGTAACTGCCACAATTCTCTATCTTTTTGTATCTTGTCCGTTCTAGCCCTGATGAAGACCTGCGAATTCGGATCGAAACGTCGGCTTTCAATAAAATAGTTTTATCACTATTTAGCCTATTTATGACCGCAACCCCAGACTATCTCCTTCCTTTATTAAACTGTTATTTTCCATTGCAAAGTTTCCTACAATGGAATTAAGAGATTTGCAGTTTCAAAAGTTGCTACACTAATTGTAGGTGGATACTGATGGGATTTCACAAAGGAAAAATTGATCAAATTATTCACTAATTTAATTATCTAAAATGTTACATGATTTATATGTTACACCATTTCTATAAATACGTCTTCAACCTCCCATCACAAGCCCAACAGAATTTAGATCCTCTATCCAGATTTTAGATTCCTCGCATCCCACGTCGGGCACACCCCTCTTCCATCAATCCTAGTCGTACAAATTACCCATAATATCCTCTTGACCCAAATCCACTTCACAGCCAAAAACATTCCAACATTAATTCTACTCTTTCAACATTCCTGATAGATCTTCAAGAGACTATAAAACCTCTCATTACTCTCCTCACTAGACTCCTTCCCCAAATCCCGTTCAACTTCCCTCGATGAATAGAAAGCCCCTAGCTAACCTTTTATGGAACGCTAATGGCCTACTCAACCACCGAGACGAACTAGACTTATTTCACATTCAAAATCACATTGACATTGCCCTTCTGACGGAAACTCACTTCACTCAACGGACACATTTCTACATTCATGACTAAATAACTTATAGCTCTGACCACCCAGAAAACACTTCCCACGCTGGTTCCTGCACCCTTATCCAAAAATCTTTATCCCTTATTCCTTCCACTTCAACTGATGCCATTCAGTCTACTTCTGGCCTTTCAACTCGCCCTTTCCACCTCACATTCTGAGCTGTATAGTGCCCTCCTGGTGATTCCATCTCCTATAACACACTTGAATCCTCATTCCAATCCCTCGAATCGCGCTTTATTGCTGGAGGAGACTACAATGCTAAACACCAACAAAAAAAGACATTAATGATGCCATAGAAAAACTTACAACATCAATAACGGACAGTATAAATAGTAACACCTCTATTAGTAAGATTAACAATTTACAAAAGACTAACTTGCCACATTATATTCGTATCTTATTAAAGGAAAAATGTCGAGCAAGATCGAAGTGGCATCGAATTAGATATCCAACAGATAAAACTCAGTACACCCAACTGACTAACAAACTAAAATCAGAAATTAGAAAATTCAAAAATTTACTCAATTTTACTGAAAAACTTACACCTACGGACAAATCACAGTGGACGACGACTAAAAGGCCCCTTAAATTTAAAGAATTTAATCATCCATTTTTTACTGAAGCTGAAACTTGGTCCAAATCTGTCAAATCAGCTCTTCAAACCTTTAATCCACATCCTGATGTCCTTAATCCAAATCAGCTTGAATATATTGAAGCAGAACTGCATATTCCACTCTAAATGACTCCTCCTAAAGCATTTCATACTTCAGAAATATCCAATATTATTCACAGATTGCCTTCCCGCAAAGCCCCTGGCCACGACCAGAAAGGTAAGTGAAAGTTGTGTGTTGCGCACACGAGATTTTTCGTTCCATTTTTTAACATTTTTTTGAATAATATAGGAAATTTATAAGCAGTGATTTAAATTTTTATTTTTACTGTAATTAGGCACTAATTGGTTATAAAAAAATTAAAGACAAGTTCGAATGGATTTGTGGAGGAAGTTTGATCAGCCCTAAATTTGTATTGACTGCTGCTCACTGCATAAACTACAGGTATTTTTTATTTTTCTATGTTTATTTAAATAGAGAATATATATATATATTTTATTTAACTATTCTAAAATTATGTTATTATTCTATAAAATAATTTTTCAGCCAACAAATTTATGATAAAAATAAAATATATTAAATTTCTAAACGTCTAAAATAATAATAATAATAAATTAGGAATTGCATTTCAGGATACCAATTCAATACGGCGTTTGTGTTCAATTTGTTTTCAGGATTTAGTAAAAGCCAAATTTACAGGATTGCGTGGTAGCTGAGAGGATACATTTATTTTAATTTTTTATTTTTGTTAAAAATTTAAAATATGAGGCCATTTCCCAACATGTAGATTTAAATAAAAGACAGAGAGCTGCAAAAATTACAAACATGTTTAATTAAACAAGTATTCCTTTGACAACAAGTAGATTTTTTTATGTTTTATAAATTTACGATATTAGTTTTTTCCATACTCTAATTTAATCTAACTCTGAATTTACCAATCTCCATACTGAAAGTCTCAAATATTATTTCTCTCTGGATGCATACCATATTCTACTAAACTGTTAGGAGTTATGCATTATTTTCTGTGAATACTTCACACGTAATAATTAATAAGATTAAAATATCAAGTTGGTTAACAACTGCTTCATCATTGTCACCTCTTAGTTCACCAGTTAAAAATGTTGAGCGGTAAGCTAAGTTATCTCTTAGACAACTAAAATTGGAGCTGAGCCATAGATTCGAAGAATCACTACGGATTTTATCTCAACATATAAGGTCTGGATTATTAAGACCTAATGAGAATATTTTGGTTCTTTGGAGAGAGAAGATAAGGTAGCTAGGCTGGAAAATGGAACTTAGGGTCCTCTCAAATCTAAAATACATTTATCACAATCTAAACTCAATAAATAAAAATTGATTTCAGAGATCAATTTTAAAAGTTAATTCAGCCATTTTTTTTTTCTGTTGGTATTATAGACCTTGTAGATCTTTAGCGAAAGACGTTTACAAGCCTACTCCATCTCAGCCTATTTTGGGATAATTCTTTCTTGTTATCTGCATGTAGCTCTATTGCATCTTTGTTTATTCGATCTATCCATCTGCCTTGGAATTTTGCCTTCTATTGAGGCATTTCTCCAATTAAGGCATTACCGGAACATCAATTAACTTTTACTGATGAATCCAAATTGGACTCAACAAGTCCATCATTTTTTGTGAACAAACACAGCTCCCATAAAATTTAATCACATCAGTTCTTATATTTAGCATTTATTCCGCAGAGATCAATACCATTAATGGCACTAGAGTATTCATCTACACTGCCTGTCAGGAATATCCTTATATCTTAAGACCTTTAAAGAAGTTAGCAAAAATATATTCTGATCATCCAGGAATCCGAAGAATTCTAGCAATAAGAACAACTCTGAATGGTGGTGGGCAATCAGCTGATTACAATGGATAGCAGGGCATGTCGGTATCAAGGGAAAAAGATGTTCTACCTCCCCAAGTCGTAGTAGGACCCTACTCACACCACCAGAGCTCTACTCTCTGCTTAAGGAGAATGTTTTCAAGGGATAACTGGACATGTCAGATTGTAGTAGTACTCTGGCAATAGCTCATATTTTCTAACAGTGTACATAAAAAAATTAGAGGATATAGGGAGGTATATCATATCAGTTCGATGTTCCGAAAATTAATTCGGACCATTTCGTACCAGCTTACATTTATTAAAAAAGTTATAATAATGATAACAATTTGATTTATTTATCATTCTTTAAATTAATTTTTCTTACTATATCCTCACAAATTCTTTTAGTAACATTTTAATGAATTTGAGATAATCGGTTTTGAAGTTTCTGATTCATTTAAAAAAAATACTGAAATAGCAATTTGATTATTTATTTTTTGTTATTTGCAATTCTAAATATCTATTTCATTTCTGACAACTAATTAAAATACACAACATATACATAACAATGAAAAAAAATGGAATATTAGTTATTTATTTTTATTTTTATGTTGTTTAAATATATTTATATGTATCTTTTTATTATTTTTTTTAACCTATCAGCTTAATATTTTCATAGTATTATTATTATATTGATTGGATACTGATGACCTAGACGTTTTGCTCTAAAACATCAAAACAACCAATTGCCTCCTGAGGCCTACCTACCGTCTTCATATTGTATCTCGTCCAAAGATATGTTCTGCTGTATTGGAAGGGAATTATACAAATATCCACAAGAGAATTAAGGCCATTATTAGACTCTCCGTCATTGAGTGTGTACTGATTATAGTAATGCTAACTTTTAATGATTATTTTTTAATTTTTAAGTTTACATTTAGGAGACTACAATGCTAAACACCAACGATGGGGTTGTCGATCATCCAACTCTCGTGGTAACATACTATCTTCTGTCTCAACTTCCAATAGTTACTCTGTCCTCTCTCCTATGAATCCTACCTATTGGCCAACATCCCTCAAAAAACGCCCTGATATCCCGGACATATTTGTCACCTCCCAAATTTCCTCTTCCCATGTCACAATAAAATCCCTGGATGACCTCTCCTCAGATCATTCTCCAGTTCAGCTTTCATTACACACAACCTTCGCTCCTAAGCCCTCGTCCTCTCCTACACTGATTACAGGACGAGTAAACTGGGACAAATTTCGTAAAGACCTGGAAAATAAATTGGACCTAAATATTCCACTTAAGACGAAACGTGATATTGACACAGCCATAAAGGAACTTACTACATCTATAAGTGACAAAATAAACGATAATACATCTACCAATAAAACTGACAATTCCCAACAGACAAATTTGCCACAGCATATTCGTATCTTATTAAGGAAAAACGCAGAGCAAGATCGAAGTGGCACAGGACTAGATACCCATCAGATAAGACATATACAACCAATTAACTAACCAACTAAAAGCTGAAATTAGAAAATACAAAGTTCAAAATTTACTTAACATGACAGAAAAACTTACTACTTGTGACAAATCACTATGGTTGACCAGTAAAAAGCTCCTTAAATTCAAAGATTTTAACCACCCACTTATTACTGAAACCCAAACCTGGTCCAGATCTGATGAAGAAAAATCTCAAATATTTGCTCAGCATCTCTCAAAAACATTTAATCCACACCCAGACATCCTTAATCCAACCCACCTTGAGTTTATTGAAGCAGAATTGGATATCCCACTCCAATTGATTCCTCCACCTAAAGCATTTCATCCTTCAGAAATATCCAATATCATTAATAGATTACCTTCCCGCAAAGCTCCTGGTCATGACCTAATCACATCCCAGATCCTAAAATTTATTCCTAAAAAAGCCATATTGTTCCTAACCTATATATTTAATGCTGTACTCCGCACCACATATTTTCCTGACTCTTGGAAACTATCCATTGTCAAAATGATACCTAAACCCACAAAGCCGCAAGAACACCCATCCTCTTACCGTCCTATCTCCCTTTTACCCATTATGGGCAAAATCCTGGAAAAACTCATTTTAAAACGTCTGTATCCCATCCTAGACTCTAAACACATTATCCCAGATCACCAATTTGGATTCCGCAAATCCCACTCCACTATTCAGCAATGCCATCGTGTGGTAGATGTAGTCTCCTCTGCATTGGAGCGCGGAATGTACTGCACGGGAGTCTTTCTCGACGTTGAATAGGCGTTCTACCACCTACATACTTCCTCATTACCCGTTCCTACCTTACTGAAAGATACTTCAAAGTCAATCATAACAAGGCTTATTCATCTCTTTTTACTCAGTCTGCCGGTGTTCCTCAAGGTAGTATCCTAGGTCCTATCCTTTACACAGTTTATACAGCTGACATACCAACCCAATCCAACACTGTCATCACCACCTATGCCGATGACACGTGTATCCTATCAGTTAATAACGATCCATCTATTGCATCCCAAACTCTTCAATCACACATCACAAGCCTTGAAAAATGGTGTCAAAACTGGAGGATTAAAATAAATTCCAATAAATCCCATCAAATAACCTTCACTCTTCGTCGTAAACCTATGACTTCCTGTCCTACAGTATCCTTCAATAATAGCCCTCTTATCCCTGTCGAACAAATCCGATACTTAGGACTCCACCTTGATAAACGACTCACTTGGAACCCCCATACCAGACTGAAACGACTAGAAACCGCCCGACGTTTTCGACTACTGCAGCACTTACTAGACAAACGATCTAATCTTTCAATCAATTATAAACGACTCGTATATATGACAATAATAAGACCTATTTGGACTTACGAAATTGAGCTTTGGGGCTCCACTAAACCATCGAATTCCTCTCGTATCCAATCCTTACAATCCAAAATCCTTCGTAAAATCCTCAACGCTCCTTACTTTGTCACAAATAAAATCATCCATAAAGACCTTAATGTTCCATATGTTTCCGATTTGGCCCAATCCAGATACCTGTCCTTCCATAACAAACTGCAGAACCATCCGAATCCTCATGTTTCAAACCTTGCTTCCTCCTCGATCCCTGATAACCCTCCGAGGTGTCTGAAAAGAAGATGGCCTCGGGATCTTCTAATATAGAACTTTAATTTGAGTTCTACCAATGGGTAGTTTCTCTTCATGTTGTACATGTCATGTTATCAATTTCACATTTACTTATTGTATTTTATATGTAATACAGTTGTAAATTCCATTAAAATAATAAAAAAAAAAAGTTTACAGTTTTTTTTTAAATTGAAATTAACAACCGTATTAATTGATAAATACAAGAAGTAGATGTGAAATTAGTAACATGACATATACAAAATGAAGAGAAACTACCCATTGGTAGCACTCCAATTATATTTCTATATTAGAAGATCCCAAGGCCATCTTATTTTCAGACGTCTCGGAGGGATTTTATTGTGACATGAGAAGAGGATCTGGAAAGTGAAAAATATGTCTAAGATATCAGGTTGCTTTTTGAGGGGAGTTGACCAATAGGTAGGATTCATAGGAGAGGGGATTGAATAACTGTTGGAAGATGAGACACGTGAAAGGATGTTACCGCGAGAGTTGGATGTTCGACAACCCCATCGTTGGTTTTTAGCATTGTAGTCTCCTCCAGCAATAAAGCGCGATTCGAGGGATTGGAATGAGGATTCAAGTAAGTTGTAGGTAAGAGTATGATGACCAGCAGAGACGTATACAGCTGAGAGTGTTAAATGGAAAGGACGAGTTGAAATGATTACTGAGGTTGCTTGAATAGCCTCATTTAGAGTAGAAGGAATGAGATAATGGAATAAGGATTTATGGATAAGGATGCAAGAAGTGTTGTCGGCGTGGTCTGATCTATAAGTGATGTAGTCACGTATGTAGAAATATGAACGTTGAGTGAAGTGAGTTTCGATCAGTAGAGCAATATCAATGTGGTTGTCATGAAGAAAAATGTCAAGTTCTTCTCGGTGGTTGTGAAGTCCGTTAGTATTCCATAAAGGAACATCTAGGAGCTTTGTGTTCATCGAGACAGATTAAAGGGAATTTTGGTAAGGATTCATGTGAGGAGGATGATTAGAGGCTTGATAGTCTCTTGGAGAACTTTCAGGAAGGACGCAAGGATGGAGTTTATAAAGTCGATCGGGTTTTGTTGGTCAGGTTGGTTTTGATCAGGGGTTCGTGAGAGATAGCTCTTATGATTGGAGTGTCTGATGAAGGATGTACCCGTCGTGATGTACGAGGGGCTGAATTGTAATAAGATGGAACTTGGGAAGGAGAGCAAATGTGAGCAGTGGGATGGGCATGAACTGGAGTTGGATGTTTAGGCGGTAACTTTATACGTAGAGGTATCTGATGAGGATGAATTTTCAGACGTGGAGATTTTGACTGAATGTGGGAGATGTAAGTCTTGGATTGGGAGGTCTTAGATTTGGACGTCTGAGCCTTAGGTTTGGAAGTCTGAGGCGTCTGCTGATTCTTCACCGTGGTGTCTGAAAATAGATGCCTGGAGTCTTGTTGGGGATGATCTGTTGATGTAGAAGGCTCATGAGTCAATTGTGGTACTATTTCGGTCGAGAATGCTGCCAAATTTAGAAGTTCGGGTGCCTGTACCTGAGTAGGATTCTTCTGTTCTTCTTTTTTTAATAAGTTTTGTGTACTTTGCTTATATAGCTTCGTATGGAAAATGCACCCAATAGAATGCAGGGTGGTCCTCAACATAAAGGGCACATTTTGGTGGTTCATTCAAAGGTTCCTGGGAGGTGTCAGAGGCGTGAGGACGGGTACATTTGACACAACCACAGAAACAGAAGGTCTATGTCTTTCATTGTGGCCGAGATTTTTTTTTATAGCGGTAGTGGGTGTAGTTGAGTGAAGACCTCTCAAAACCACTCTATATGTTTTTCGTTAAGTCATAATTATTATTATGTCAAGTGATTAATAAGTTTTTATAATCATCTTTGGTATTGGTGTTAATCTTTGTCATTGACTCGAGAAAAACACCGGAAGTTGATTTGTCTGATCAGAATGGCTATTTCTTGACCGAACTGCATGATGTCAATTTTGCTTACATATATCATATATACATAAAATATATCATATATACAAAAAAGAAGAGAAAAAAAAACTATCACTAATAAGAAAATTTAAAAAACAAATACTTAATAATTAATCTATTTACAAATCTATATTCAAATATTAAAATAAAATAAAGAATTAAGAAACAAAATCAGAGATTTGAGATAACCAGATAACAAAGACAGAACAACAGAAATATTGAACTGCAGTTGGGGCTATGAAAGTATACATATAACTTTCATTTTTTATCCCCCTAATTAGTCTTTAAGTTTAGAAGTTTATTTTGATTTAAGTTTTATTCCTAATGGGGAATTTTTTTATTTCATTGAATATTATATTTATGTTCAATTTTTTTATTGCATAACTTTTGTTTTAACTTTACATGTATATCTAGCCTTTATTCAATATAATTTTTTAATAAACATTCAAAAGGAGATTGTTTATTTTATTATTTATCCTTAATTGATTTCATATATATTTTTTAAATATTTTTTGTGCATGAATTTTGCTAATGTTTTTTTTCTCTCATTTCTTCTATTACAGCTTTCACCTTTATTTTATTTTCCTCCTCTTTACAGCTTCGACCTTTTTTACTCGTATTTCTTCCTTTTTGCAAAAGATTCCAGAGGAAAGATTTGTATTTCAATTCAATGTTGTGACTAAGAGTATTTCAAAATTGAAATAAAAATCTTTCCCCACAGAGTTTCCTGGGATTTGTATATTTTTTCAGCCATGGCTCCAACCCTCATCAGTCTCAATGAAATCATTTCTAGGTTTCATGGATTGTTTGGAAAAAAATATTAGAAACCTAGCTAAAATTGTGTGACCTCTTATAGATTCTTTTAAAGTATGAAGATTCAACATGACAATGGCATTCTATTATGATCCATCACTGCTTCTTTATGTATACTGTGAAGGTTCTAAATATGGATTGATACTGTATTATTAAACAAGATGGTGGATAGTTAAAGAGACCAATTGCTTAAATCTCTTGTATATTATAAGGTGCTCTATATACATAAAGCCTTGGATTTTCAGGGACAGAGATCAGATGCAGGATGAATGATCTTGATTGACAATGAACATCAAGATAGAAATAAAGGAAGCAATGGAGATAGAGTTCCAGTGAGGAGAACAAGTGTTTGTTCCAAATTACAGGGATTGGCCATCAGGGGAGGGGAGCAAAATGGACCTGAGTAGTTGTTACTGCAAGAAATAGTGTTATACGTTATAGTAGTTAATAATTTGTCATTACTGGCTAATAATAATTAATGGAAAATAAAGTTTTTGAATTGATATATAGGTATAGCTCAGGTAATTGTGTTCATTCAGTTTGTTAGTAATCAGTGAGTCAGTAGGTGATTCCAGTGTAACCAAGTTGAATTCTTCATGAAGAAGCTTTTCATCAGTGTCAAGGTTATATTATTTGTATGTCAGCAAGAAACATTTATAACATTTATATTGATTAAATATGAGAAAATTATATTTTTTTATCTCACTTATATCAAATTATAGAGAACTGTTAGGGTAGTTTGGAGTATTGCCCTCTGTATATTATGGCAAAAATTCCATATTGCACATCGGCATGTAATCTGTCTGGGTCTTTTTTCTTCATTGTTCTCTTAGGTATAGGGGTAGTATATTAATTTAATTTTAACACATAGTCTGATATTAATATTTTTAAAAAAAATGTATTTATTGTTATTGTATATATATTGTTGACAATTTTATATTTTATATTAATTTGATAATTGGAATTATTTTAACTTTCTGATTATTACCGAATATGATTTTTAATTTATCCTTAAGGGTGTTTTAATATTTATAATGTAGTATAAAAAGGAATGAATCCATATTTCCATAAGGATAATAAAGTTCATTATTTTGTGATAGACTTTATTTGTAAAGGATATTCCTTTAAAACAAATAAAGATTATCTTTAAATATATTGATTAAATACAAGGCCTTTAGTAACGGTTATTTCCCTAAATAATAATTTTAATTAACTCATTAAAATTAACAATTGATAAGTTAGTTTTTGTAGTTATTAACTTAACCAAAACTGCCTGAAAGAATGAATTACTTTAATTTTGCTGCCCAAACAGGTTTGAAATACCTAGTATTATAATTAGCAACATTTATATTGGTAATAAGTTCTATTTTTATTTATACCATGTAGAAAAAAATTGATTAAAATTTCAGTATGTGTTCATAATGCTAATTTTAATGAATCAAGAATTTATTAAGGCAATTTTGGTTTTGATCCAACATTATTATTATTAAATTGAATTACACAAGACATTAATCAAATCAAACTAAACTAGTATTAAAAAAATACAAGATATATATTCAATATTTATTCTTACAGTTACGTATACTGGGTTAGACTTGGAGATCTTGACACATCGTCTGAAACAGAGGACAGTGAGCCTGAAAACATCAAAGTATTGAGAACTATAGGTCACCCTGAATATAAAAGCAATCTTCTCTATCATGACATAGCACTGTTTGAATTGGAATCAGAGGCCAAACTTAGCACATATGTTCGTCCACTCTGTCTTCCCACTAGCGAGAAAATAGGAAATGAAAAACTTGTGGCATCTGGCTGGGGACATACTAGATGGCGTAAGTCACAAAATATATATTAAATAAAAAACAATAGTTTTGCTGTGTACAGAATTAATTCGTGGTCACAAATTTAATCATTGCTAATTCCAATGATTTCATAATTTGAAGAGAAGTTGGTTGGGATTTTTAGTAAGCGAAAATACAAAGTAAAATTAAATAAATTATATTTATATTTATTTCCTTTGGGCCGATCTTTCAGGCTTTCATCAGGGCTAAGCAAAGACAAGATAACATATTAATATTGAGAAACTAGTAGACGGTAATAGTAATAATATTTAGGTAAAAGATATAGTCAAATAACATGTAGGTAGCTAAACTTAACATTAATAAATTTGTGGAATGGCAAATATATGATATATAAATTGAGAAAGTATAATGATAACAATGCTGGGACTTATACAATAGCGGTAGATAAGTAAGGATGCATAAGTTAACATTAACAAAGTTAGAGACTTATAAAATAATGGGATAAACTTAGCAATTATATAAAATAAAGATAATAAAGTGAAGAAGTAAACCATAATAAAATAATAGTAACAGCAAAATGAAAATAATGGTTATATGAAATATAGAATTAAATTTGATTCACGGTCGATGTATAAAATAATAGTAACTGAGTTAGGAATTTATGAAATAAAGGGAAAACTTAGGTAATTATAAAATAAATGTAATATAGTGATGAAGTAAACAATTGTAAATTATTAGTAGCAACTTAATTAAATTAACAAAGAAATGAAAAATCCCATAACAATAAATGAAATAGAATATTGATAGATACAAATCGCAAATGATAAACATAAAATAAATTGGGTGACATAGTTGCTATAAGTTGATGTCTTAATATTTTAATAAGAAGTGAGATAAACATAGAATAAAGATTAAAAACAAAGAAAAGGAACATGAAGTTGTATGTGGTAAGTTGTAGAAAATGATAAAAGTAAACAGAAAAAAAAAATGTAATGAAATCCATCGAAAATACAGTGCAGATAGATAAGCATTGAAAAAAACCCAAAAAAAACCTGCACCACTACAACCCATGAAGGGTCTTGGGTTCAGTATTATGTGAGGAAGTGCTGTTTCAAGGCCAACAGTTGTGCAGGTAGGTGATGGGGCGGATATTAGGCACAACCGCCAGGTTTTCCTCCTTAATTATTTTTAAAAATTAAGGGTACCCACTTTATAGAGGCTGGGTGTGCCCCAGGAGGTTCTCCGGGAATCAAAGGATGTCGGTTCTTGCATCCTTATACATAAATCTTTACCCCATTCCCTTATTCCTTCCACTCCAGCTGACGCCATTCAATCAACTTCTGTAATCCTTTCAACTCGCCCTTTCCATTTCACAGTCTCAGCTGTATACTGTCCTCCTGGTAATTCCCTCTCCTTTAATCTCCTTGATACGTTGTTCCATCCCTCGGATCGCGCTTTATTGCTGGAGGAGATTACAATGCTAAATACCAACGGTGGGGTTGTCGAACATCCAAATCCCGCGGTAACATCCTTTCCCGTCTCTCATCTTCTAATAGTTATTCAATCCTATCGCCCATGAGTCCTACTTATTGGCCAACATCCCTCAAAAAACGTCCCGATATTCTGGATATATTTATCACCTTCCAGATTTCCTCCTCCCAAACTATAATCAAATCCCTGGATGACATTTCTTCAGACCATAGTCCAGTTCTGCTTTCACTACATTCTGACTTTGCTCCTAAACCATCACCTCCCAAACTGATCACTGGACGAGTAAACTGGGACAAATTTCGTGATGATTTGGAAAACAAACTAGACCTCAAAATTCCGCTTAAGACAAAAGAAGACATTAATGGTGCCATAGAAAAACTGACATCATCAATAACAGACAGTATAAATAATAACACCTTTATCAATAAGATTAACAACCCACAAAATACTAACTTAACGCAGAGCAAGATCGAAGTGGCTTCGAACTAGATACCCGACAGATAAAGCGCATTACACCCAACTGACTAACAAACTGAAATCAGAAATTAGAAAATACAAAATTCAAAATTTACTAAAGTTTACTGAAAGACTTACACCTACCGATAAATCACTATGGACGACCACTAAAAGGCTCCTGAAATTTAAAGACTACAACCATCCACTACTCACTGAAGCCCAAACCTGGTACAAATCTGACGAAGAAAAATCCCAAATATTTGCTCACCACCTCTTTAAAACCTTTAATCCACATCCCGATATTCTTAATCCAAATCACCTTGAATGTATTGAAGCAGAACTGGATATACCACTCCAAATGTCTCTTCCACCTAAAGCCTTTCATCCTTCAGAAATACCCAACATCATTCACAGGTTACCTTCCCGCAAAGCTCCTGGACACGACCTAATTACATCTCAGATCCTAAAACTACTTCCTCGGAAAGCCATTCTATTCCTTACTTATATATATAATGCTGTACTCCGATCCACATATTTTCCCAATCCTTGGAAACTATCCATTATCAAAATGATACATAAACCCAAAAAAAAACCAGAATACCCATCCTCTTACCGTCCTATCTCTCTTTTACCCATCATGGGCAAAGTCCTGGAAAAACTCATCCTAAAACGCCTGTACCCAATCCTAGATTCTAATCACATAATCCCAGATCACCAGTTTGGATTCCGCAGATCCCATTCCACTATCCAGCAATGCCATCGTGTGGTGGATGTTGTCTCCTCTGCATTAGAGCACGGAATGTACTGCACGGGAGTCTTTCTCGATGTAGAAAAGGCTTTTGATCGAGTCTGGCACCCGGGACTATTTTACAAACTCCGTAAATTCCTACATCCTACATACTTCCTCATTAGCCGTTCCTATCTAACTGATAGATACTCAAAAGTCAATCACAATAATGCTTATTCATCCCTCTTTTCCCAGTCCGCTGGTGTTCCTCAAGGTAGTATCCTTGGTCCTATCCTTTACAAAATTTATACAGCTGACATCCCAACCCATCCTAACACTGTTATTACCACGTATGCCAATGATACATGTGTCCTATCCGTTAATAATGACCCAACCATTGCATCCCAAACTCTTCAATCGCACATCACAAGCCTTGAAGAATGGTGTCAAAACTGGAGGATTAAAATAAATTCTAATAAATCCCATCAAATCACCTTTACCCTTCGACGTAAACCTATGACCTCATGTCCCACAGTATCCTTTAATAATACCCCACTTATCCCTGTTGAACAAATTCGATACCTTGGACTTCACTTGGACAAACGTCTAACTTGGAATCCTCATACCAGACTGAAACGACAAGAAACCGCTCGACGTTTCCGACTACTCCAACACTTACTAGACAAACGCTCTAAGCTTCCAGTTAATTACAAAAGACTTATATACATGACTACAATAAGACCTATTTGGACTTACGGAGTTGAGCTTTGGGGCTCCACTAAGCCATCGAATTCCTCTCGTATCCAATCCTTACAATCCAAAATCCTTCGGAAAATCCTCAATGCTCCTTACTTTGTCACCAATAAAATAATCCATAATGACCTTCATGTTCCTTATGTTTCCGGTTTGGCCCAATCCAGATACCAATCCTTCCATAATAAACTTCAGAACCATCCGAATCCTCTCGTCTCTAACCTTGCTTCCTCTTCTATTCCTGATAACCCTCCGAGGCATCTGAAAAGAAGATGGCCTCGAGATCTCTTATTTTAAATACATTTTGTTTTTAGAGTGCTACCAGTGGGTAGTTTCTCAACAAGTCATTTCATGTTATTATTTTCTGTTATCAAATTTACTTAATGTTTTTAATTTTTTAATACAGTCGTAAATATCATGAATAAATAAAAAAAATAAAATAAAAAAATAATATTATAATATTTGAATTGATTTAAAAATAGGTAGTATACAAATATTAATGTTTTCCAGTGGGAATACCAAGTTCAAAACTTCAGAAAGTAGTTTTGCCGCCTGCACCCCATCAAAAATGCCAGGAAGATTATAGTAAACATAAAAAATCGTTGCTTCCACAGGGTATTTTAGAAAACTCAATGTTGTGTACCGGATCAACTGACGGAAAAGACACATGCCAGGTATATGTTTAGTTAATCCACTATATAATAAACTGCCTAATTTTGTTTCTAATAACCTCCTTATAATTTATAGCATGTTAACCTCAACAGTTAACTTTTAACCTCAAAAGTTTTGAAAACATTTATTTTATATGCCCATTATAATGATTCGATCAAGAGCAAAGAAACTTTTCCAATTACGTATCTAACTCATTTTAGTAAAAATTGAATTAGGCGGTGTTAGAATTACAAAATATAATTGCCATGGCATGTATTTTTTTTTTATGTTGACAGATCTTTTGCCTAAACCCGCCTTCTCCATCTCTGACTGTCTTGGGCTATTTCTTAGCAGTTATCTGCATGCTGATACATCTTTGTTGATTCAATCCATCATTTTTGGCCTTCCACGTGGTCTTTTGCCTTCTATTGAGGCATTAATTGTTGTGTAGAGGCTTCCTGTAGGATTTCTCCGATCTTCATGACCAATCTTAACCTCATCTCCTTCATATTATGAGATATTAATTGGACAGTTTAGCAGCTCTTTATTGTTCTATTATGCGTTAGTACTCTGATCTCAGATGGTTACGGGTATCGCGCGGAGGATTTTTCTCTCAAATCTTTCAGTACTTCTTTCTAGGGTAGTATCCAGGTCTCACACCTTATATTAGAACTGGCTTTATTATTGCATTGTGCAACACAAATTTGAGTTTTTATGGAATTTCAATACCTTTGAAAGAGAGAAGAAAGCTATGTTTGGGTTTGTCTCTGACCTTTGGTCATTCATTGAGTTATAGGCTGTTAGCCAGTTCGAACTTTGAAGGCTTCAGATGTTTTTACTTGTATTAGTACTAGACATTTAGAGTCATTTGTACATTCCTTAGTCAATCTTACCAACCCTTCAGGAACTCCAAGTTCAAACATGACTTTACAAATGGTTCCTATTCGCTGAATTACAGGCTGCTTTGAAATTGACAAGTTAGGGGCGCACATGCTGAACTACATCACATCGTTTTTCTCTTATGTCTTCTCCCCCATCTTTAAACATTTCTGATGGTAAGTTGTCTCTCCCTGAGGCCTTTCATGATTTAAGCCTTTCTATAGCTATGGTCATATATTAATAATAATTGAATGTTTTGGTCCTAACATGCAGTTTTTTATTATGGCTAAACAAAACAAGTATCTCAAAAGAAACAAAGAATAAATTTAGGAGAGTGATAGAATATAAGGAATATAATATTTATTTCTATATATTAATTTGTGAAAGAAAAATAACAAATATGTTATAACTCCTAATAAATATAAAAATATTTCTAGAATGCAAAATTATTTTAAGGAAAAACAAAAAAGCCTTTTATTTTAATACCTATTTATCTGAGGTTCTATATTACTAACTAAGCATAGAACTGAACTATTGATCAGTTACATCCATGTTTATCTGTCAATGTATATATAACTGATATTATTTATTTTTTAAGGGTGATTCTGGAGGACCTTTACAAATAAAACGAAAGAACTGCATATACACAATAGTAGGAGTTGCTTCTTATGGTAAAGGTTGTGCTTTGGGATATTCTAGTATTCATACAAGGGTGTCAAATTATCTGCCATGGATTGTGCAAATTGTATGGCCATAGAATTTTGATCCAGTTGAAACCACAATCATCAACATATTTACATAATAAAGAGCTTATATATATATATATATATATATATATATATATATATATATATATATATATATATATATATGCCTGTTTCATATATAATGAAGTGCGTTGCAGTGAGAAAAAAAATCGATATTTCGATAATATTGACTATCGATGACCATTCTTAAGTTGAATGATCCCAAATTTGTTAGCTTCAAAAACCAAAGGAGGGAATATATATATATATATATATATATATATATATATATATATATATATATATATTCCCTATATTGTTAAAAAGAAAAAAAAATCTTTATTGTGGTGAACCAATATTTTATTAAATATAAAAGAAAATTAATATACATTAAGTTGTTGAAACATGTTTAATTTTTTTTCTTTTAATTATTCTCATTGGTTTTTATGGCTCATGACAGTCATCTGAAAATCATTTGAGCCACTGAACTTTGCAACCTCATTGTCTAATAAAATTAAAAATAGAATTGATTGTCAAATATAACATATTAATATTGTGATATGGATTATAATGTAACAATTATCATTATGAAACCAGAAATGTCAAAAAAGCTATTTATTTTATTTCAAATTATTGCATATATATATTCAATATTCTATATTATTCTAACGCACTATGACTTTATTAAATAAAGATATTAAACTTAATTTTAAATATTTTATTACATCCTATATGTACTAATAAAACGTTTAAGAGTAATCAAATGAAATAATAACTTTTTTATTTTTATTTAATTTTAACATTTATAGTCAAAACATATTAAAAAACATGATAACTGAGTTAATTTCCTCATTTTTTTCCTACCTATTTATTATTTATCTCTCTGAACCTGCCTAAGTCTTATTCTGCAATATTTATAACAGATAATAAAACACTATTTTATATGTTTTATTTTCACTTACCAATATATGTAATATATAGTAAGGGAAAGCATTGCGGATCGTGAAAATTTTCGTATATGAGTTTTCAACAAGAATAAACGTTTTGAGGTCCCCTGAATTTAAATAACCAAGTCCTGCAAAATGGTCTTTGAAAATGAAAAAGAAAAAATATTGTATTATTCTGGGACTGTTGTCACTTCAGAACAGATTATAAGTACAGATTGTATGTCTGTGTGGTTACAATTAGATTATATATTTACAATAAGAGTCAACTAAAAATAAAAATACTGAAGAAGAGAAAGAAAATAACAGGAAAATTGTACATATATATAAGAAACTAAAATGCAGGTATATACAAATAAATTCAGGTAATCTCTGGGAGTGCTTAAATATTTCTCTTAAGTATATTTCGCAATCAGTCGAATTGAGAAAGGAGTAGGTGTTTAAAGAGGAGACGCTGGAAAGAGGAAACTGATTGAGCGTGTCGAATATCAGCAGGGATGGAATTTCAGAGGGAGGCGGCTTGTATTGCAAACGATGTTTTTATGCCATACAGCGACTACTCACGTTTCGAAGACTATCAAGGAATGCCAGATTGACATTCTATAAAACATTGATTCGTCAGGTAGTCACATACGGAAGCGAGACGTGGGTTATCTCAGCAAAACATGAGAGGGCTCTTGGAATGTGGGAGCGTAAGATTCTTAGGAAGATTTACGGGCCCGTATGCGAAGAAGGTGTTTGAAGGTCACGATACAATCGGGAGTTGCAACAACTCTACAGGGACGCATATCTCGTAAGTGTCAATAAGGCAGGACGAATAAGATGGTTAGGGCATGTGGAAAGGATGGCAGCCCACCGAGTACCGAGGAAAATATTGTATGGGCGACCTGGAGGAGCAAGAAGCAGAGGAAGGCCACCACTCCGTTGGCTGGAGGATCCACCATCCATATATCATAAATAAGTTTATGGAGCTCATCCCAAACTTCATCTCCACCATACTTAAAAAGTTCAGCCTCGACTCCGTCTATGCCTGGCGCCTTATAATTCTCCAGACCCTGCACAATTTCCATTATTTATACCTAGGTTTTTAACGGTGGAATAAGATAGGTGATTTGTTCAGGAGGAGATTGGGAGATACCGGGTAGGATTTGAGAAGTGATGGGAATCCGATCAAGATGGCTTTTGTCTTCTCGGCGTTCAGAGTAAGCCTGTTGAGGTTTGCCCAAGAACTTATTCTGTTAATGTCTTCCTGAAGTTTTAGAATGGCATCTGAGTAATCGGACGGATTAAAGGAGAGGTAAATTTGAAAGTCGTCGGCATACAGGTGGTATTGACAGTGCAGGATAGAGGATGGGAGGTCATTTATATAGATGGAGAAAAGGGTGGGGGATAAGGAAGAGCCTTGTGGGACGCCTCTGGACAGAGGTAGAGATTCTGATGAGGGATTATTAGGAATTACAACATACTAGGAACGACCGGTAAGGAAGAATTGGAACCAATTAAGGGAACTAGAAGAAAAAGAGATAATTTTAAGTTTGGTTAGGAGGATGTTGTGGTCTACTGAATCAAAAGCTTTGGAGAAGTCAAGAAGAAGAAGGATGGTTAGTTTCTGCTGATCTATGGCTGTGTGAAGGTCTTGGGAAATTTTGATCAGGGTAGACTGAGTAGAATAACCTGGCCTGAAACCAGACTGGTAGGGATTTAGGAGATTATTGTCCTCGAAAAACTGGGATAGCTGAGATTGGACTAATCGCTCTAAAGGTTTTTAGAGGTTCGAAAGAAAGGAAATCAGTCGGAAATCATTAAGAGCTGTTGGGTTTGAGGTCTTCTTCAAGGGGCGTACTAGGGCGGTTTTCCAGGATGTAGGGAAGGTGGCATTTAGAAGAGAATAATTATATATATGATAAAGGATCGGAAGAATGGATGGCAATACGGCTTTAATCGGTCTGATTGGGATGGTATCGGGACCGTAATTATTGGTATGGGACTTCTGAATGAATTTAAGGAGATCATCTGGGATAATATGGGAAAAAAATAAGTGATCAGGATTAAAGGAAGAGAACATGGAAGCCAGACTGGACGTGGGAGATGTGGTTGCAAGAGGACAGGAGACAAAGTGAGCGTTGAGGTTATCAGCGGAAACGGAATTGGACTGGGACTGGGGTGCATTACTGGGGTTTTGGCACGGCGTACTGCTGATTGAGTGCTGTTTGAAGGAGAGAAAGTCATCAGAAAGTCGAGTTCGTTTAAACCGTCTTTGTGTATGTGAACAGCCTAGCTCCAAAACAAAAAGTCGTACGAAACTGATATTACCTATTTAAAATAGGTATATGGTTTGGATGTCACAGCAATTTTTTCCTTAAGATTGGATAACCGGAAGTGCCACTTTATATCAACGGTGAAACACATTTTTACAATTTTCTCAAAAACGGCTCTAACGATTTTGATTAAACTTGGTGTATAGTTGTATAATTAAGTGGTATTTACTATAATTTAGGTCTTATCCCTATTGATCTCACTTTACAATGCTTAAATGCCCAATGTCAACGTTTCTTCCTCTAAAGTTCAAGTTTGGTTTATTTTGAATAATTAACTCTCTCTCATTGTTAGGAGTTACTAAAAAATAATAAATATAACTTTTGAAGAATTTAATAATTGAAGAATGGAGAAAAGAAGAAAAATGCTTATCCAGCTTTAGAAATGAATCTCCAGAAATACTAGTCAGAATGTATAGGTATAATATATCGCTGGAAAACAAAGAATTTTAGAAAAGTAATATGAAATAAATAAAGTTGTAGAAGGTATTGGATAGTGACAAAAAAAAGTATAAATGATAATTTCTGAAAACTGACATTATATTACGTAAATCACATGATTAATTAATTAAATTAAATGATAAGGAAATTAAATGAAATTTACAAACTATGTGAACTTTGAAAAAAATTGTTTAAGTACCCAATCAGTAATAAAAGTAACTAATCAAGGCAATGACATTGTTAAAAAAACTATTTCATTGTATGTGTGTGAAACAAGAAGTAAAATATAAAAATCTGGTGCGCGCAACACACAACTTTCACTTACCGATCTACTGTGAATAGAAATTATTTTCTGGCAATGCTGGGCTATTATAAAATTTTTTGAAGTGCATTTTAAACGGAGTTAAAGCTTAAAGCTTACAGATAACAAGTTATTGAGACCATTATAATTAAAAAATGTCTATTTAATATATCGACGACAGGCCATAAAAATCTAGTCACTCCACCTGCTATTATAAAGCACACAACTTTCTTTGCTTTTATAAACCTCAGAATGACTAACTCCAATTTCAACATTTTTGAATGATGTCATTTTAGTGATATTTTTAGTTGAAAAAGTTATCTATGTAGAATATGAGTAAATTGATTCCGGAGGTGGTGATTGCAGTGTTGAAATATAGAACTGAGAATAAAGGTATAAATTTAGGTACTTATTTCTTATGAAAGATGTTCTTAGGAAAGATACTTTATTAAATATCTGTAGAAAAAAGGTTTTTTTAGTCTCAACAATTAAAAAAGTATATTTTAAATTTATCCAAATTTTCGCCTCTTCAGGAAAAAAACTAGAGACCATATCTTTCCTCCTAATTGTCCGATCTTAACGATTTTTTTTTTTTTAGGAAATTCCATAAACTTTTAAAAACCATATAATAAATCACCCAAAAAGTGTATACTTTTTGAGTTATTCGGAATTTAATTTTACCATCCCTCGTAACTTTTTTTCCAGCTTCTTTTCGTTGAAGTATGTTATATAGATAAATTTAAAGGGTGTCGAGAAAATGACTTTAGTGAAGTTTCATTGAAATCGCTACAGTTTATAGCAACGCAGATTTTTCTGCATTTTTATTTTTTTTTCTCGTTTATTATCTTATTAAATTCTTTAAATTTAAAGTTACATTTAGCATTTTTTCGTAACTTTGAATAATGTGAAATGATTAACTATTTAAAATAAACCATATTAAAGGTACTTTAGAGGAAGACGCATATGAACATTGGGCATTTAAGCCCTCTAAAGTGACATCAATGGGGATAAGACCTAATTGATATTAAAGACCACTTAATTATACAATGATACGCCGAGTTTA